GGCAACCGAGGTTAGATATTTGTCATAAAGCATTATTTGTAGACATCTACAAATATTCTGTAAATTATGCAGCTTGGGTAAAAATACAAAAGTCACCTTTATACCGACTTAAATATTGAAAAGATTTGACATTTTCCATCAATGTATCTCAGGTGAGCCATCAAAGGCCATCATTGCCCTCTTGTCTTATGGCCCTATGTATTCACACTGCCCATTCATTGGTATTGGTATTGACTATTTATGTTGTCTTATTCATTAGAAAAATTATCTTTGTTTGCAAGAGTAAATGTATTTGCACGTTGAAAAAATCTTAACGGATGCATAAACAATTGTTTTTTCTGAAAAACGTTATGCTAACAATTTTCATAATTTTCATTTTAGGTTTCGACAAAGATTACATTCCAGAGTACACTTCAGGAAAAGTGTATAATACAGATGAAATTATCAAGCACAAACGTAACCGTTTCATTAAATATGGAGCTACCACTTTGTTAAGACAAGGCCGTTACCATTCTGATGGTGCATTTGTTATACTATTTGGTGAAATAACACTCGTAAATCAGATAAAAATCATTGATATGGATTTGGACTTTGCTGCTGAAGGCGATTCTGGAGCGCTGGTATTTTGTAAATCTGACAAAGGATTAGTTGCTGCTGGTCTCCTGGAGGGTGGTGGTAAAGGTTACACTATTATGACTCCCATATGTGACATTTTGCATGCAGTTGGATATTCTCCACCATATGCTCCTAAAACATTTCCTGACGCAAATGATAACATCAATGGAAAGTGTCATATACAGAAAAACAGGTATTAAAAAAAAATAATCGTTTTACAACAAACTGTGCACGAAATACAAGATCATTTGAAAACATATGAAAATATAAAACCTTATATTTCAAAATGCAGTATTTATGATACATTGCTCTTATATGATTTATATTGAAAAATACCCTTTGTTATTAACTCACCAGAATCGAAGGTTCAGGGTGAGCTATTAATATCAAAGGGGGTACTCCGACGTCCGTCATCTTCTTCTCAGAAATTGATGGGCAGATTTACCTCAAATTTAGTCTGTAGCATCCTTGTGACAGTCACACTTTGCTCATATCATTTCAGTTGGCACCTTTTAGGGGTCAACAGAGTTAAAATTAAAAAAAACACTTTAAACATCTTCTACTACAATTTTATACGATGGATGCTCACCACAATTTGTCTGTAGCATTCTTACGTCTTTATTTATCAGGGGTCTTTATAGCTAAATATAGAAAAACTGTTAGACATCTTCTTCTACAGAACTAATTGATGGACGATCACAAAACTGTGTCTGTAGCATTCTTAGGTAGTACTTTATCAAGTTTGCTCATAATAATTAGATTGACCCCTTTTAAGTGCCGCTAAAGATCAAAATAGAAATAGAAAAAGCTTTGAACGTCTGCTTCTACAGAACTAATTGATGTATGATCACCAAATTTTGTCTGTAGCATTCTTAGGTAGTCTTTTATCTAGTTTGCTCATATCAATTTGATTGACCCCTTAAAGGGGCCGCTAAAGCTTAATAGGAAAACTTTTTAACATCATCTCGTACTGAAATAATCAGTGGATGATCACCAAATTTTGTCTGTATCATTCTTAGGTAGTCTTTTCTTAAGCTTGCTCATATTAATTTGATTGACCCTTTCAGGAACCGCTAAAGCAAAAAATAGAAAAACCTTTGAACATTAAACGTCTGATTCTACAGAACTAATAGATGGATAATCATTAAACTTTGTCTAAAGCATTCTTATGTAGTCTTTTATCAAGTTTGCTCATATAAATTTGATTGGCCCTTTTTAGGGACTGCTAAGCTAAAAGTAGAAATACCTTTAAACGTCTCCTTTTACAGAACTCATTGATGGATGATCGCCAAATTGTGTCTGTAGAATATTAAGGTAGTCTTTTATAAAGTTTGCTCATATTAATTTGATTGAGCCCTTTTAGGGGCCGCTAATGCTAAAAGTAGAAAAAACTTTGAACATCATCTCCTACTGAAATAATTGATGGATAATCACCAAACTTTGTCTGTAATATTCTTAGGTAGTCTGTTATCAAGTTTGATCATATTAATTTGAACGGCCCTTTTTAGGGGCCGCTAAAGCTAAAAAGAGAAATACCTTTAAACGTCTGCTTCTATAGAACTAAATGATGGATAATCACCACACATTTTCTGTAGCATTCTTAGGTTTCTTTTGTCTTTTATCAAGTTTGCTTATATTAATTGGATTGGCCCCTTTTAGGGGCTGCTAAAGCTAAAATACCTTTAAACTTCTCCTTCTACGTTTAGACCAAATGTTGTCTGTAGCATTCTTAGGTTGTCTTTTATCAATTTTGCTCATATTAATTTGGTTGGCCGCTTTTAGGAGCCTCAAGGAGCCTAAAAATACAAAAGCCTTAAAACATTATCTTGTACTGAAGTAAATGATGGATGATCACCAAACTTTGTCTGTAGCATTCTTATGTAGTCTTTTCAAATTTGCTTATATTAATTTGATTGGCCCCTTTTAGGGGCCTCTAGAGCTAAACAATAGAAACAAATTTTGAACATAATCTTGTACTGAAGTAAATGATGGATGATCACCAAATTTTGTCTGTAGCATTCTTATGTAGTCTTCTATCGAATTTGCTCATATTTATTTGATTGGCCCCTTGTCGTGGCCGCTAAAGCTAAAATGCCCCAGGCCATGGCATTTCTTCAAATTATAGTTTAAATATATACTATGCTCATCCTTGCGTAAAATATTTTTATCACATAAACTTATTGCAATCTATGTAATTTAATCGAATATGTCCATTTTGAACAAAAGAATGATAAATAATCTTTTGGAAGCTGTGGGCCCTATTACAGGTCAAATAAAATTGGCCTTTTCTTAAAAATGCTGCCTGTTTTAAATGACATCATATATTCATATTGTAACCACCTATAGTGTGTAGAACACAACATATCTACTTTGTGTGAAGTTAAAACATGTTTATTTTATATTTACAAAGAGACTGTAGCAATTATAGATATTTTCAAGCATAGTATATCTTGAAAGAAAGCGAAACAAATTATGTTGGAATGTCTTTCATACATGTAAACATGCTAAAGCTGTTTGCTGATGAAATAATTTGAGGTCATGACCTCTGGCAAGAGATATAATATTTAAAAAATAACTTGAGCACATTATAAGGATATTATGATTAACAAAATAGAGTAAAACAGAATCCCTAAAGAAAGCCCAACACGACAATATTGAAAATGTTGCAGGCTCAGTTTGATTGAGTCTGTTCATGGACGGTATTGAAAAGTGCAAGTTACCGTCCACGCCCCCTTGCACCGGTTTAAGCAGAATTCAACATTTAAACACGAAAATGGTGAAATTTAGAAACATCCGCAGATGTGTTTATACGGCGATTATCATGGAACCTTCAATGTGACACAGTAGTGCCATTCCATGAAAAGCGGCGTATGGTCCCCAAGTAAAATAATGTGTGTGCCCTTAACGAGAAAACAATAGGCGGAATTAAATAAAATGGAATTTTGAAAGGGGATCTGAGGTTATGAAGCCTGCGCATCACAGACAAGACGTCAAAAGATAAATTTAAAAAGCAGGCAACACATCCTAAGGGTGATTGTACAGTATTCAAGAAGGAATACTGGAACCACCCAAGTTGAAAATGCCATTGCAAATAGAAGAAACAAATAGTACCACATTACATGCATTACATGTATACACGACAACAATGTCGTGTAACAACGCCTTGTAACTTTTACATTGCATAAATTATTACACTCTGTGCTTTGTATCTGATCAGTAAACATATCTACACATTGTTTTTCATTTGACATGCTAAGATAAGACCCTGATCCCAAAACTCACTAGACATGCACTACGGCAAAGTTCAATTGTATAATAAAATATATTTTTGAGACTATAATTTAGTGTTGTGTCATAGCATTTTTTTACAAACACAATCTTGTTAAGCAATAAAATCATCAAATATCTTCCAGCTCTTGAAATGCATCATGCAGGATCATTTGTAGGTCATAGAAGAATTTTCCCCAGGAAAGAAAATTAGGCCAAAAGATAGATTATATTTAATTCCTGTACCTTAGTAACAAAATTAGTATGCATGCTCATATTTTATATTGACTTTTGTTATTGACTTAAAATTCAGACTTAGGATGTAATTTTTGATGATGCAATGAATTTTGATAAATCTGACCTACTTTTGATATTATTGACACCATTTGACTCTCTTTCTTATTTTTTGACAGACATACTTTAGATTTGGACCAGCGGTGTAATTTCCGATGCCCAATCAAATTTTGATATCAGCTCACCTACTTTTGAAATTTAACCATGTTTTCAACGAAAACCGGGTTATTGTAATGCCGAGGTCGGCGGGCGGCCGGGCGGGCGGGCGTCAACTTTTGGTTTCCGCTCAATAACTTTAGTTTGCTTTGGCCTATTGACACCAAACTTGGTGTGTAGGTAGATTATATCAAGAGGAAGCTTTGGATTGCTACCCAGGTGTCTGTGATCAAGGTCAATGTCACTGTTACTAAAAATAGAAATTCAGTTTCCGCTCAATAACTTGAGTTTGCTTTGACCTATTAACACCAAACTTGGCGTATGGATAGCTTATATCAGGAAGCAGCTTGAGATTGCTACCCAGGATTCTGTGATTTAGGTCAAGGTCACTTGTTACTAAAAATAGAAATTCAGTTTCCGCTCAATAACTTGAGTTTGCTTTGGCCTATTGACACCACAATTGGTGTATGGATAGCTTATATCAAGTGGCAGCTTGGGATTGCTTACCAGATGTCTGTGATCAAGGTCAAGGTCACTGTTACGAAAAATAGAAATTCAGTTTCCGCTCAATAACCTGAGTTTGCTTTGGCCTATTGACACCAAACTTGGTGTATGGATAGCTTCTATCAAGAGGCAGCTTGGAATTGCTACCCAGGTGTATGTGATCAAGGTCAAGGTCACTGTTACTAAAAACAGAAATTCAGTTTCCGCTCAATAACTTGAGTTTGCTTTGACCTATTAACACCAAACTTGGTGTATGGATAGCTTATATCAAGAGGCAGCTTGGGATTGCTACCCAGGATTCTGTGATTTAGGTCAAGGTCACTTGTTACTAAAAGTAGAAATTCAGTTTCCGCTCAATAACTGGAGTTTGCTTTGGCCTATTGACACTAAATTTGGTGTATGGATAGCTTATATCAAGAGGCAGCTTGGGATTGCTAACCAGATGTATGTGATCAAGGTCAAGGTCACTGTTACTAAAAATAGAAATTCAGTTTCCGCTCCATAACTTGAGTTTGCTTTGGCCTATTGACACCAAACTTGGTGTATGCATAGCTTAAATCAAGAGGCAGCTTGGGATTGCTACCCAGGTGTCTGTGATCAAGGTCAAGGTCACTGTTACTAAAAATAGAAATTCAGTTTCCACTCAATAACTTGAGTTTGCTTTTACCTATTGACACCTAACTTGGTGTATGGATAGCTTATATCAAGGGGCAGCTTGGGATTGCTACCAGGATTCTGTGATTTAGGTCAAGGTCACTTGTTACTAAAAAGAAATTCAGTTTCTGCTCAATAACTTGAGTTTGCTTTGGCCTATAGACACTAAACTTGGTGTATGGATAGCTTATATTAAGAGGCAGCTTGGGATTGCTACCCAGGTGTCTGTGATTAAGGTCAAGGTCACTGTTACTATAAATAGAAATTCAGTTTCCGCTCAATAACTTGAGTTTGCTTTTGCTTATTGACACCAAACTTTATGTATGGATAGCTTATATCAAGAGGCAGCTTAGGATTGCTACCCAGGTGTCTGTTATCAAGGTCAATGTCACTGTTACTAAAAATAGATATTCAGTTTCTGCTCAGTAACTTGAGTTTGCTTTGGCCTATTGACACCAAACTTGGTGAATGGATAGGTTATATCAAGAGGCAGCTTGGGATTGCTATCCAGGTGTCTGTGATGAAGGTCAAGGTCACTTGTTACTAAAAATAGAAATTCAGTTTCTGCTTAATAACTGGAGTTTGCTTTGGCCTATTGACACCAAACTTGATGAATGGGTAGCTTATATCAAGAGGCAGCTTTGGATTGCTACCCTAGAGTCTGTGATCAAGGTTTATGTATTTAGTTTTCATGTTATAACTTGAGTTTGCTTTGATCTTTGACACCAAACTTGCTGAATGGCAGCTTTGGATTGCCACTAAGATATCTGGGAGCAATTTCAAGGTCATTTGCTTACAATAGAATTTTCAGCTTTTACTCAATAACTTCAGTGCTTTTTGACCTATTGATTGCTGTCACATCAAAACTTGGTCGTTGAAAACCTGGTTTTCGTCGCATTGCGGCGCTTCTTGCTTTATATTGCTTAGCCTACTTTTTTGGGTAATTTTTACACAAAGACTTGAAATTTGTGTGTAATTTCTGATGCCAAATTGAATTTTGATTATATTTTATCTACTTTTGATCCCTTTGATATCATTTGATCTACTTTCTTGTTTTTGAAATACAGACTTGAAATTTTGACTAGGGGTGAAATTGTTGATGCCAAATTGATTTTTAATATCAGCTGACCTACTTCTGATACTTTTGATACCTATATTCTTGAATTATGGCCCAGAGTTGTTATTGAATTTTGATGGCAGCTGACCTATTTATGATATTTCTTATATCATTTGATCTACTTTCTTGTTTTTTGACGTACATACATTGTTTTTGATGAAGGGTGTAATTTATGATGCTGAATTGAATTTTGATATCAGTTGGCCTTCATTTGATATTTTTACATTGTTTGACCATTTGTCATTTTTAGGTACAGTCATGTTACCATAATTATAGAATTTATAAAAAAAATGTTGTCCCAACTGTAAATTTCAAACATCTACACCTAATACATTTTGCATGTGATATTTTATGAATTCATTCACACAAGGTTTAAACAATTGTCACTTCAAAACTAGCCCTGCTGTAGTAGTCACTTATTCTATGTTATTTTATTCTGCATAGTCTCATCGGAACACACTTGCAACATAAATCATTAACAAAGGCTTTCCGATATATTAGGGCAAAATATTTCAATTTGTATAGTAAGCAATGAAATGATTGGTCAGATGAGTGATATAGAGCCATCTTGGCCATAAAGAAAAAACAAAAACAATCAGTGTTGTGAAAGTATATAACTAGAAGGGCAGGTTAAATTGAGGGGGACTTGCCTTTGCGAAAAGTCATTTGAAAAATAATTTCTTACAATGAAAAACAGTTGTTTCTGGTGAGCGACTCAGTGCCATCATGGCCTTCTTGTTTTATATTCAACTCTAAACTCAGGTATCTACTTCAGGGTTCATAGATCTATATATAGAAAAAAACCTATATTTCCCTCTTCAATTGACTCTTTTTTAAGTTGTTTTTTTTTTAAAGTTTTTTCTTGACTTTATTCTTCAGTTATGTTATATTGGCTAAACTTATGTTATCATTTACATCAACGTTGCTCTTGCCGATGCCAATGCCGTCCTGGTCTAATTTATTATCTCTAAATAGATTGCCTTAGTACCCGAACAATACAGCCGTTTAGACAAGACTTTCAAATTGACCTTGACTTATAAATGACTTTAACCTAATTACAAATTTCATTCATACTTTAAGAGAAAAAAAAAACACTTTTGACAAACGAACATAATGGAAAAATATTCAGATATTGAATATACTAAATGACCTTGACTTTTAAAAGATCTCGGCTATCAAGGTCAAAATATAAATCTTAATGTGTGGAGATTTGCCCACTTTAAAAATTCATGCAAGGAGTTTTGTCTTTTCTATAAAATTCTGAGGTGTTATGTTTTGTTGTGTAGGGCTTTGTTCATAGGAAAGCTCAGTATATAGAGAGTAAAGTATCAGTATTTTTAACTTGTATTCCTTTTTATTATTTTCAATATTGTCCAATTTTTGATGTGTTAGAAGAATCTTTTCAAGTAATATTGATTAAAGAAAAATCAAAGTATAAATACTGAATAGTCGATTATAACTCACTAGACACAACTGCATTATGGCATATTTCATTTGTTTAGAAAAATAATTAATCTTCTGTTTCTAAAATTCAGTGTTGTATTAATGCAGTGGCAAACCAATTTTTATGCTCCCCGAAAAAATTCGGGGGAGCATATAGTCGCCGCCTTGTCCGTCCGTCTGTCCGTCTGTCTGTTTGCTTTTCTTGTCCGGGACATAACTTAAAAACAACAAGAGGTATCAACACGAAACTTTGTAGGTAGATAGATCTCATTGAAAAGGTGTGCAGTGCACAAGAACCGTAACTCCGTCTTGCCTAATTTTGGAGTTATTGCCCTTAGTTCATTCTTTAACTTTGAACTTTGTCTGGGACTAAACTCTAAAACTATAAGAGGTATCAACATGAAACTTTGTAGGTAGATAGATCTCATTGAGTAGGTGTGCAGTGCACAAGAACTGTAACTCTGTTTTGCCTAATTTTGGAGTTATTGCCCTTTGTTTATTTTTACACTTTGAACTTTGTCCGGGATATAACTCTAAAGCTATAAGAGGTATCAACATGAATCTTTGTAGGGAGATAGATCTCATTGAGTAGGTGTGCAGTGCATAAGAACCGTAACTCTGCTTTCCCTTTTTTGAATTATTGCCCTTTGTTTATTTGTACACTTTGAACTTTGTCCGGGACATAACTCTAAAACTATAAGAGCTATAAACATGAAACTTTGCAAATAGATAGATCTCATTGAGGAGGTTTGCAGTGCACAAGAATCATAACTCTGCCTTGCCTTATTTTGAAGTTATTGCCCTTCGTTTTTTTTTACTTTTTGACTTTTGTTCGGGACATAACTCTTAAACTATTAGAGATATCAACATGAATATTTGTAGGTAGATAGATCTCATTGGATAGAACTGCCATGCTAAAGAACCTAAACACAGCCTTGTCTTATTTTGGAGTTATTGCCCTTTGTTCATTTTTACACCTTGAATTTTACCCGGGACATAACTCTGAAACTAAAAGAGATATCATCACGAAACTTTATGGATAGATAGATCTCATTGAATAGAAGTGCAGTGCAAAAAAAGCATAACTCTGCCTTGCCTAATTTTGGAGTTTTTGCCCTTTGTTCATTTTTTATACTTTCCCGTGTCCGAAACCCTCTCGGGGAGCATCACCCGATTCAACCGGTTCTTGTTTCACAAATTAGTCAGACATGTTGTTTTGTTAATTTCTAATTAAACGTCGAATACGGGTCACGTGGGGTCAAAAACTCGGTCACACAGCTCAAATATGGAAAAACCTTGTTAACACTCTAGGGGCTACTGTTTAAGTCCAAATATCCTGGAAATTAGTCAGAAAAGTTGTTTTGAATTTCCACTGATGTTTGCTTTACTTGACTGTAACTTGGTTATTATTAAATTGATTATCCCTATATTTGGACAAAACGCCTTTTGGACAACACCTTCTCAAAGTTTGAATTGACTTTGACTTTTAAATGACCTTGACCGTCAAGGTCTAATTATTGAATTTTTGTTAAATTGTCATTATTTTTTATTTATGAACGGATTTGATTTATAGCTGGACAAAACAAGAACAAAGCGAACATATTATTATTGATATGTGAACTTGACTCTTCATTGACATTGACTGTCAAGGTCAAATTAGTGAAATTCTACTTTTGTTTCCTTTAACTGACGTTGACTTTATTATTTATTAAAGGATTGGCTTCATATTTAGACATAACATCTTTTAGGTCAGGTCTTAAATGTTTATTTAACTTAAATTGATAATGACTCATGTATGACCTTGTCCTTGAAAGTTGAATTATAGATTTGTACTGATTATTGCTATAATTTGCGGTTCCTCTGTAATTTATCAATGGATTTCTCTTCATACATACATGGACAAAACTACCTTTCAGACAAGACCTGAAAGATTGAACTGATTGCTAAGTTGTCAAAGTTTTGTAATATACGGATTTTACTCAAACATGCATGAAACAACACTTATGAACAAACTGACATGTTGAATGATATAGATATGACCTTGACCTTAAATGACCTTAATTGTTAAGGTTAAAGGTCATATGACTCAATTTTGCTTGAACTGTCAGTTATTTATGGAAATGATTCATACTTGGAAAAAACAGCAAGTGTGACTAGACAGACCTATTTAAATGAAAAAACAAAAGCATTTTTCTTATTTTTTACTTTTTAAAGATTTGTTTAAACTGTTAATTTGTTTGCTTTTAGAAAAAGTAATTTTCTTAGCGGTCGGAAATGAAACAAACAAAAAGGATGATTTTCTGATTTTTTTTCTCCAATTTCCGTCAGTGGTTTTGTAAACCAATAAATAAAAAAGTTGTGGCCGAAATCACTTTTAATTTATTTCTAGTTATAATTGGCAACTTTGATTTAACACTTATGACAACTCAGAATTTTTGTATAATTTAAGTATGACCTTAATCTGTTAATGACTTTGACTGTCAAAGTCAAGGAAGAAATTCTGATTATGTTTTGTACAAGAAAATAATGTATGTATCCAGGTTGTGTAATCAAAGCATGGTAAATTGTAATGAGCTTTAAGTGGTTGTTATTTCCTTTGCAGCGGACAACGGACAAAAGAAGAAAAATTATTAGCTGCAAAGATGAAGGTTGCTAGTGGCATTGAGGCTGAAAAACAAGAAAGTATTGAAGTACCGAAGTGATGAAAAGCATATCATAACACATTGATATAAAAAAAGACAACAATTTTCATGCCACCGCAGCATATATACAGCTATGGAATTGAGACAGGATGATCATTTGTAGATGCAAATTTTTGATTTCGATTGACCTAGATTTCGATTATGTGGCCTACTTTTGTCTTTAGAACTACAATAGAGCTACAATATTCATAGCCAGACAAGTATTTCTAAATCTTAAATTATGATTAGAAATAAATTAGGAAATCTGGTCGTATGTCCTATGTCCTTCAATCTCTATGTCTTTTTTCGTAGGCGATTTCGTCTATCTTTCCGTCTTTCCTTCCATCCGTTACTTTTCCGGTGAATAACTTAATTCAATTTAAACTTAACACAGTGATAGAGACCATTAGGAAATGCAATGTTTAAGAACTATAACTCTACTTTACTTTTATTTTTTTTATTTTTCTCCCTTAAATTAAAAATTCTTGTCTGGAGTATAACTGTTAAACTATCAATGATATATAATTGAAACTATACGCAGTTGTACAGACTTGTGAGAGTGCAGTATTAAAGAACGATAACTCTACATTGCTTTAGTTTTTAATTATCTTCAGTTATATATTATGCTTAATAATGCTTGTCCGGAATATAGATTCTAAACTATCAATGACGTCTTGTTGAAACCTTACACTTGAGACTAGTGAAAGGAAGCAGAGAATAAAATGACTATAACTTTTAAGTACATTGTTTTTAAATTATCTCCCTTTATGATATTCAATATTGGAGAATCTACAAAAATAATGAAGGAATACTAATGCTTTTACGGTGAAATAACTTCAAATGAAGAATTTTATTTAAAAATCACATAGTGATGGAGACCAGAAAAAATATGTGTGAAGCTGTTATTTTTAAATTATTTCCCTTATAATACTTCAGAACGCTTGCACTAGTTTATAGCCTCTATTCATTGACCGATATTTTCTATATTTAGTAGAGTCTTTCCTCGGATGATCTTCTAACTTTGGTAAAGATCAAGGTTACTGGTTGTTAAATAAATTTTCACAAAATTTATTTATTAACTTATGTCTTTATGTTAAGTATGGACTATTTTGCCAGGACAACACTAAGGTCATTGGCTGTGTTGCTAAAAATTGGTTTACCTCACCTGAGCAGAAAAGCTCATGGCGAGCTTATGTGATCACACTTTGTCCGTATCATCGTCCGTAAGTGCGTCCGTGTGTCCGTCATTTTCTGACTCATTAGGTAAATATCTTGGAAGATACTATGGGTGGATGAGAAGAGGTGACATTGGTCAATCTAAGTAAAATCAGCTCCTAAATTACGCTACGCATGAGGATCTTTTATCCACCCATAGGCAGTCACCTTCTCGTGGTCTTTCAAACAACCAATCGTTGGCGAGCTTTCATTATTCTGAAAGCGATGCAGTTTCTAATTCTAACCCTTCGAAAACTTATACTGAGTAGGTAATTTTCACGATTTATAGAACAAACATGACGTTGTCCATACGACTGACAGGTAAACTGGCAAAACAATCTTGTCCATTAATTTTTTTTCAAGTTAATTTGTTAAAAATTACTTGAAACATTTGTTTAACATAATACCGCGGATAACGGTATTTAGAAATTTCTTGTTATGCCTATGTGTAAAAACCTGTTTCATTGCATGACTAAAATAGCTTTCTCGAGAAATCCGAATTATAAAGAAGAACAACTCAATACCGTGACATAATCATTTTCGGAATAATTTGGGATTCGAACACAACACAACTTTGGGTCTCCTGAAGAGTTTTTCAACATCATTTTCACCCCATCTTACTACTTTGTTTACCTTTTAGCCCTAATTGTTCTGGAATTTCATTCATTTCATCCATTATCAGGAGATAATTTGCTTATCTGTTACTTGTCATTGTGGGAGGTCTGTAAAAATCGGTACGACAAGATTTTCAAAATAGAACATGTCCTATCCCTTACATCTCGACATAAGGTTTCCGAAATCAAGAAATAGTAGCCTTCACACATTAAGATTTGTCTGTACATCTTAGTTTTAATTGGTGTTGTACTTCAAAATGCGGCTTTAAGTAGTAGTCCGTACAGGAAGTACTAAAATATCAACTATTTAAGTAGTCGCACATTAAGAGCGGAGCTTCAGAATAATGTAAAATTCTCACTGGGGGTTTAGAGGGGAGTATGGGGTATCGATCTCCCCGAGGGTTAAAAATAACATTTTAAAGGGCCATTATGCTTTTATTTGTTTTTCTTAAAATATTTTTATTTTGATGTTCTTTTATATTATCAAAACAATACACATTGACCAATTACCTGAACCATCTTTTTCATCTGTTGCTATTTGAAAATCCTTCCATTAGTATAGAATTTATAGAGCGGACACGACATATTGTCTAGTATTGATTGTATGTAAATTAAACGACTTAAAAAGGGGCATAACTTTGTCAAAATGCAATACAGAGTTATGAAACTTGACCTGCATATCTTACTTGTGACACCCCATATATCTTTAAAGTTGAAAGCAAATACCTGTGCTAGTTTCAGAAATTATCAAGTACATGTTAAAATTTAAGAACATTTTCTAAGTCAATTTGTGACCTTCAAGTGTGACCCTGACCTTAAACCGACACAAAGGTAACATGGGTTCTGCACATAACCTTGTTGAGGTGAACATTTGACTAAAGTTTGAAGAAAATTCTTCCATTTGTATTGGATTTATAGAGCGGACACGACATATTGTCTTATATTTGATTGTATGTAAATTTGACTTTGTCAAAATGCAGTACAGAGTTATGAAACTTGACCTGCTTATCTTAATTGTGACACTTCATATATATTTTAAGTTTCAAGCAAATACCTTTTCTTGTTTCAAAAATATTCAAATACATGTTACAATTGACATTACGCTGCCTGTCAATTAACCTGGCAGGGGTCTTACAGATAAGCCAATCGGCGATTGTTATCAGTTACACGCTAATATGTCTGAGAAGTCCGCCATTTTCCTTAGACAAGCTATATGTATAAGACAATGGTGCAGCAGTATTTATATTGAAATTATTTTGATTTTTTTTTTTTTTGTCAATTTAAAGCTATTAAAGCAGTTTATCTGAGTTACAAAATATCCTGACATATTGACAGATGGAGTCAGTTAGTTCATTTTACAAAAACAAAAACATTTGTAACTTTCTATAGGATATGAAGATAACTAGTTATATAGCAGGTACTATTCATAATCATATAATATATTATAAGGTCCCAGAATATTCAAATGATATGACATTTTTTTTGTTCGTTTACAACATTATGTCAATAAAATGCTGCAGTAGAAAAAAGTACTTGAAGATAAAATGAGAAAATATGCAATAAATATTTTAGGAGAAATTATCCTACCTAAATATTACTATTAAAGCTCAATGAATTTAAATACATTTCATGCTTCAATAACATCATATCTGATCACGGTTTTAATTTAAAGCCGAGGTCTGGTATATGCGAAACTTATTTTGAAGTTAATAATATTGCGTTTTATCGGGAAAATATCTAATGTACGAATATACATATAATCATATATCATACAACAAAGTTACGCAAGGGCAAATTTCTCATTTAATTTTGACAATTTATGCACAAATTCATTACATATAAGTGATTTCGCAAATAAAACCCCAAAAACATTTGTAAAAGTTTCATTGATTCGTAGGATTTATTTCATTTGTGTGTTTAAAATTTCTTAATGTTTGATATTTGCTGATTATTTATTATGTGTAGTTTTTGTGTAACTTTTATGTAAACTGTATGTCTTGGCCATATTTAGTATGGGTAAATGGTCAAAGGCATTTATAATGCCGATTTGCCAATTAATGAAATGAAATGATATGATATAACTATTATATGTTCTGCTACATCAATTTTAACTTTCTTTGAATTTCTAAACTAAAATTATATTTTGTCAGTAACATCTTCATTGAAGTCAGCTCAGTACCATCTGTCTTGAACTCAGCGAGAAATATAACAAGATCTTTGCCAAACGTTTTATTCATCATTAATGCGTGAATGCAGTTACTTTTTACATTGCTACTTTTTAAAATATCATAAAACATTGAACTATTCAATAAAAGCATTAAAATTTTATGTATACCAAATTATATAAGGTAAATTCTTTAGTCACTTAAGTGGCATGACAGTTTCGCGTAAACGTTGGTACAGTCTTTTGTCTAAGGTTCTGAATGACCGGGTCACGTGAATCAGTGGGCGGAGCAATCTCTTCTCTGGCGTAATGTCAATTTAAGAATAGTTTCTAAGTCAATTTTTGACCTTCATGTGTGACCTTGACCTTAAGCCGGCAAAAGGGTTGAAATGGGTTCTGCACATAACCTTGTTGATGTGCACATTTGAGCCAAGATTGAAAAATATACTTTCAATTAGTGTAGGACTACATATATTTGATTGTTTGATATTTGACCTTCAAATGTGACCTTGACCTTAAGTTGACACATGGGCAACATGGGTTCTGCACATTCCCTTGTTGAGGTGAATATTTGAGCCAAGTTTGAAGAAAATCATTCAATTGGTATAGGATTTATAGAGCGGACACGATAATGGAGACAGACGAAGCGACAAAGCGAATCCATTATAGCCCCCCCCCCCCCCCCAACCCCCAACATTTTGTGGTGGGGTATAATAAAGTATGAAGACATTAAAAGCATTATTTATCAGCTTTGCGTTTAATCATCGTTATCTCTAAGTGGATTGCTGTGGTGCCTATGGACATGTTGAGAGTCAAAATGTTATCAAATTTGTTTCTCTTTTGATATAGCATTAACTTAGATAAATATTTAAACAAATTATTAATCCCATGCAACGATGTGATAAGGTAACTGAATAATGGCATTTGTACATCTGATTTATTTGTTTGAACACCTAATGTATTTCAGGAACAAAATATAAAGATTCAACACCACCCTCCCCTCAAATATACATGCAATATTTGAAAGAATTTTTATTGTATTCTGAATAATATTAGCTTAACATTATTTATTACTATAAATTCTACTTATTCTGAATTAGGACCATGGCGCCTTTGATTTCCTACAAATCGATTACAAATACACTATATTAAACAACAGCGAAGAATCAATCTCTTTTAACATTGTCTATTTACATTGTCTGAATTAAAATATTTTTACATTGGTTATTTACACGATAATATATCAGATATTGTTATTTACACGATCATATCCAAAGTATGATATCAGGTTCTAAGTGCTTTGTTTAAAATGCTGCCAAAGCCTTATGTTTGATAAGTCCACCATAATTTGGACATAGTTTGTTTTGCACCTGGTCGTCTGTTCGTCCGTCTGTGAACAGATTTGACTTTTCTCGGGTGCAGATTTACCTTGGTCATTATGTAAGAATTTCAAAAGTGCGTGTCTGCTCTCTATATCACCTTTTATCTTGTGTGCTCTCTTTAATTGCAGAACAAGACGATGTGTAAAACGCAGGTTAGGTCCTTCTCTAATCAAAATTTTCCCCGCTTCGGTGGTTTCTTAATTCACATAAATTTTATAGGAAAAATTCTTCTAAGAATAATGAGCCTTTAAATATTAGCCCTATGCAAAATCATTTTAGTTGATATGAACAAGGTGACATCAAACTCACATAAATAATCAGGTATTGTTTTCCTCAAAATGTGTGGTTTTACTCATAGCATTATATTCAAATAAGAAGAAACAAACTGATTTGTAGTACAATTTAATACATAATCAAAACAATGTTGCATTTAAGGGTTGAAACATCAATTTTGCTGCAAGAGTGTATCCCTGTGTGATGCGACTATATGTTTTCGAATAATTGGCGTCTATGCATCTATGTGCGTTTGCAAATGAAGTGGTTTTGACCCCTGGTGTTACCTTAAGTTTGTACTCTAGGTTAGCCAAAATCATCTTACCTGTTTCGACGTCATTTGACTTAATTTGTGTTTGCGCGCCGTAAAACCAAT